TTTTCAATTTTAATAAAGTCACAGAGCTAGCAAAAGCTTGAGAACCAGTGTTAACATCTGCAGCATATTTCTCTAGTTTGAAGAAGTGTGTGAGCATATGTAAACCACACACATGTAAAAAGTTATCAGAAATGATGAGCCAGACTTGAAATTCACAAGATAGAAAAACCTTTTTGTCAGTGAATCTATTGAGCAGAAAAATGACCCCGGAAAGAAAATAACAGCCATAAAAACATTTAAATTTGGAATGTTAATAAATCATTTTGTAGAACCAGCATGTCTCCGTTCTTTTTTTCTTCATTATGCTTATTGGAACACCCTAAGGGTCCCAATATTTCAAGTAGACACTGAAGTGGGATACTGGGGTATACAGGAATTCCTTTTAGTCAGCATCATTGGGTGATTGTGTTGTAGGTATTTTGCATGTCACTCTTGAGTCCCTTACCTAGGCACTAGAGGAGAAAACCAACAAAATCTCCTGTTTAGTTTGAAGAGGGAACTTGAATCCGTGTTAGCCACCACCAGTGTAGCATTACAGACATTAGCACTAGCCCTGGTCTTACATGACAGGTTGAAATCTTGGTCCATAGAGGGCCTTTTGAGGATTAGATGCCCCCTACACACACACCATTGTCATTCTGCTGCTCATAGGAGGATGGGTATTGGGACCATGAAGATGAGTTTTTCTCCCTTAGGTAAAATGTAGGGTACTTGTGTGGTATTGCTGCTCAAAGCTAGGTACAACATTAGTAAACACTGGGAGTTGTATAGTCCCAAGTGCAGATTGTAAGTCCCGTGGTGTAATTTATATATCCAAGGCAAGTAGAACCTAGAACCTACCCCGTACGCCTAAAGTGAAGCCTAAGAGGGACTTTGGTCCACATCTTCCTCATGGATGGCATTCTTTGATCCCTAGCTCCTATCTCATGTGTGGACCAAGAGCAACAGTGCCTCCATGTGCTCCCCAGGCTGGGTCATGCAGCTTCCAATTCAGACACCTACAATCTGCAGCCATGACTAGGTCTTAAAACAGTTGCTTTGGCAATTAAAAGTCAGTACTGCAGGGATGTTGGAAAACAAAACACCCAGTAAATTGCTTAGGAATAAGGATCCTAAGCTCCACCCTCATAGTTGATTTGTCATATGACATTTTAGTCTGAAAATGTTATTAGAAAAATGTAGGTAAGCCAGGTGTGGTGGCGCATGACTTTAATCCCAGCACTCGGGAGGCAGAGGCAGGTGGATCTCTGTGTGAGATCAAGGCCAGCCTGGTCTACATAGTGAGTTCTAGGCCAGCTGGGGCTACAGGGAGACCTTGACTCAAAAAGACCAAAAAGGAAAAAAATGTAGATAAAACTATCTCCTGTCCCTGTCCCTCAAATTTGCCCTCAACGTCTTGGTCGATGTTTTATTTTCTATATAGTTCAAGATCAAGAGAACTGATTTTAATGATTCATTTAAGAATAGAGGACATACTGCTTTTTAAAGAATGAAGTAGAATTAAAGTTCTCCTAAGCTGTCTGTGTGGTTATTTCATTTACTTCCAGATACTGAAGTAAGGACAGATGCTTTTTGGAAGGGTAAGTATGAGCTGGTGGTGGAATGTGATAACCTGCTTTAATCCTCAGATCCCATGTTGACGAGAAATGATCAGTTTTTCAAAAAGTGCCAGCCAGGTGGCTCTGTAGGTAAGGGCACTGCCATGAAGAAGCCTGATGACCTGAATTTAATCCTCAGGACCCACTTAGTGGAGGGAAAGCACTGACTTGTAGTTGGTTCTCTGGCCACCACACACATACACATAACACACACACACACTAAATGAATAATTTTTTTTTTAATAGTGGCAGTGTGATGCCTTTCTCCCATCCTTGGTCACATGGTCTGAGTTTCCTGAATGTAATGGATGCAGTTGGCATTGGGTGTATTGTCAAATGACCCTTTGTGGGAGTCAGTCTGACTGGAACATTCTCATTTTTAGCAAATGTGCAATGCACATCACCCCCATACTTAGGACCTGACCTTAAGCATTCTCTTACCTGAGCAGGGCCTAGTCTTTATTTTTCTATTTCTTCTGTTACATCTTTAATGTAAATAGAAGCTTGTGGTTGAAATATGTTCTATCTAATGGGCTGATGGAAGCTCAGTGCTTAAAGTGCTTGCCTAGTATGTGTGAGGCCCTGGGTTTGATCCCCAGCACCACTCAAGATGGGGAGTGTTCACCCACAGCTACTTTAATCTTGTTTAGTATGGCAAAGTCCAAATGATTACTATATGTCCAGGCTGTACAAGAGAAGGGAATGTGACAGTCCTGAAAATAATAGGTTCTAAAACCAGTGATGGAACATGACTGATTCACCTGAGGTCTGAAAAACCCTATTCATATATTTACACTTACCTCCAGAGGTGATCCCCCTTACACCTTCAAGTCAACTCCTGTTTGAGTCTACATTTTGGCAAGTTAGTAATTGTCCTAGTTTGTTTCTCCATTGCTGTGACAAAACACTCTGACCAATACCAACTTGGGGAGGAAAGGGTTTATTCAGCTTACAACTCCCAGGTCACGGTTCATCAGGGAGCCCAAGGTGGGAACTCAGGGCAGGAACCATAGGCATAGGCCATGGAAGAATGCTGCTTACTAGCTTGCTCCCTTGGCCCCTGCTCAGCCTGGTTTCTTATGTAACACAGGCCCACCTGCCCAGGGGTGGTACCACCCACAGTGGGCTGCCCCCCCCCCACCACTCATCAAGAAGATGCCCTTCAGACATGGCCACAGGCTAGTCCAATAGAGGCAATTTCCCGATTGAGGCTCCCTCAGCCCAGGTGTGTCAAGCTGACACTAAAGCATCCAGCACAGTAATAGCTCAGCAGGACAGTTTCCATAATGATTAAGTGGATCCATGCTAGCATTTTAAATGTTTTCTGTAATGTGAGCACATCCATCCTGCATTTAAAACAGACCTGATGGAAGCCACCTTCAGTGTTCATCTCTTATTACTGAGTTCAAGCGTTTGTCAGTTTCATAGGATGTAAGCTTCAGCACTGGTCCAGTCTCCATTTCACATATCTGAGATGAAAAGATCTGCCCATGTTCACTTAGCAGAGGTGGGATGAGGTCTCTGGATCACTCAATGCTGTGCTTTTCCATGATGCCAAACCTTGGGGGATAATGTCAAAGAAGTTGCCTCTGGACTGATGACATAACTTTTCAAGTAGAATTCTTTTAAATTGTAAATTACTTAGAAGCAAAATTCCTGCTTAGCTTCTTTGGAAAAGCTTTTCAGAGTGAGTTATTTAGGGGGACTGGAAAGAATACTCAGTGAGTAAAACATTTGTCACACAAATGTGACACGTATTTTACTCTCCAGAACCCACTTAAAAGCTGGGTGGGGGGCTGGAGAAGTGGCTCAGTGGTCTTGCAGAGGGAGAACCAGGGTTCAGTCCCCGGCACCCACATGGTGACTAACAACTGTCTGTAACTCCAGTTCCAGGGAATCTGACACCCTCTTCTGACCTCCAGGGGAACCGCACGACATGGGTCTGCTTACACACATGCAAGCAATACACTTATACGCATAA